TTCCACATCCTTAAATCTGTTTTAATTTCCTTTTTTAGGTTTATAAAGTTTTCATCATAGAGGTCCTTCACCTCTTTGGTTGTTAATTCCTATGTATTTTATTATTTTTGAGGCTATTACAAAAGGAATTGCTTTCCTGATTTCATCCTTATCTTTTCATTGTTGGCATACAGAAAAGCTACTTATTTTTGTGCATTAATATACCTTGCTACTTTGCCAAAATTTTGGACCAGCTTGAGTAACTAGGGAGAGGATTCGATGGCTTCTTAAAATGGAGGATCATGTCACCTGCAAAGAGGGGAGAGTTTTACTTCTTCTTTCCCTATTTGGATCTTACTGTTCTGGCTAGGAATTCCAATACAATATTGAAGAGGAGTGGAGAGAGCAGACACCCTTGTCTTGTTCCTTATTTCAGAGGAAGTATTTCTAACTTTTCACCATTAAGTATACAGCCTTTATTATATTGAGGAATGTGCCATGGGTTTCTAGTTTCTCCACAGCTTTCATCATAAAGAGGTGGTGGAGCTTGTCAAATGATTTTTCTGCTTCTTGGAGATGATCATGTGGTTCTTGTCCTTGGTCCTATTGATGTGTGTTGAATTACATTAATTGACTGTGTATAGTGAATGAGCTTTGCATCCCTGGAATGAATCTTGTTTAATCATAGTGTATGAGTTTTTTGATTAGCTGTTGAAGTTGATTGGCCAGAATTTTATTGAGAAGTTTTTTTTATGAACGTTCACTAAAGAAATGGGCCTATAGTTCTCTTTCTTTCATGAGTCCTGATCTGGTTTTGGGGTGAGGATTATGCTTACCTCATAGAATGAGTTTGGTAGTGATCTTTCACTTTCAATTTCATTAAAGCGTTCGAGGAGTATTGGAGTGAGTTCTCCTTTGAAGACCTTATAGAATTCAGTTATGAATCCATCTGGTACTGGGCTTTTCTCGGATGGGAGGTCTTTTATTGCCATATCTATTTCAATACTTGATATGGGTCTATTGGTTTAGATCTTGGTTTCATTTGGGTATTGCCCTCCCCCCCCTTTTTTTTCTTTTTGGTCAGATTTGCTAAGGTTCTGCCAATTTTGTTAATTGTTTTGTTGGTCCTTACAAGTTTTGTGGACTCTAAATCAGTTAATTCTGATTTAATTATTTGTTTCCATCCACTCTGTTGGAGTTTGTCTTGTTGCTCATTTTCAAGGAACTTAAGTCCATCATTAAACTGATGATTTGAGATTTTTCCAATTTGTTGATGTAGAAACTCAGAGCTATAAATTTTCCTCTGAATTCTGCCTTTGTTGTGTCCCAGAGGAGCTGGAATTTTATTTGTTCATTTTTATTAATTACCATGAACAGTTGAATTTCCTTTCCGATCTCTTCAATGACCCAGTGCTGATTCCACAATGTATTGTTTAGTCTCTGTGAGTTACAGAATTTTCTATGGTGGCTTTTGGTATTGAGCTCTTATTTTATTCCACTGTGGTCTGAAATAATGTAGAGAATAAGTTCTGAATTTGCACAGATTTGCTTTGTGATCTAAAACATGGTATATTTTGGAGAATGTTCCATGTGCTTCCAAGAAGAACATATATTCTGATACTACTGGGTAAAATATTCTGTAGATGTCTGTTAAGTCTAGCTGGTCTATGCAGTTGTTAAATTCTGAGGTTTCTCTGTTGAGTTTTTGCTGGGTTGATCTATCCAGAGGTGACAGTGGTGTGTTAAAGTCATCAACTAGCAATGTGTTTGGATCTATGTATGATTTTAGGGTAAGTAGTGTTTGTCTGATGAATTTGGGTGCTCTAGCATTTGCTGTGTATTTATAATTGTTATATCCTCCTGTAGAAGAGTTCCCTTTATTGCTATAGAATTTATCTTGATTCTTGTTCTGAAATTACAGTTTACATAGTAGTATTTTAATATTTTAATTTTGACTAATTTCTTTATGTTCAGAGTTGTTCATAAGGTTTTCAGTGTTATCTTCAAGTAGATTAGTTCAATAGGATTTTTTACTTCATACATTTTGCTTGTATATTTATTTTTGTTTTTGGGTCCGGTCGTGGGGCCTGAACTCTGGGCTTGTGCGCTATCCCCCAGCTCTTCAGCTCAAGGCAAGCGCTCTACCACTTGAGCCATAGTGCCACTTCTGGCTTTTTTTTTTCTGCTATGTGGTGCTGAGGAATTGAACCCAGGGCCTCAAGCATGCAAGACAAGTGCTCTACCACTGAGCCATCTTCCCAGCCCTTGCTTGTTTATTTAAACTTAATAAATTTTTCTTGGATAGTCTATGTATAGTTAGTTATTCCTAAAAAGAAAGAAAAAATGTTTTCTAATTCCATCTCCTGGAAGCAAATACTGTTAACACTTTAAATATACTTCTTTAGATTTCAAAGTATATTATGTATGAACAAATTTTTGTGGTACACAAAGTTTTGTGGTACACACTAACATTCCGTCTATAATTGGGAGCCTAAAATAGGCAGATTTGGTGGGATCAAGGACTTGGGTGGAAATGAGTCCCAGCAGAAAAAGGCCAGAAGCATGGCTTAACAGTAGTGCACCTACCTAGCAAATGAGTTGCCCTGAGTTCAAATGTCACTACCACCAGAAATATTACTTTAGCCAGTTTTTCTTGTAAATTATATTATTTAAAATTTTCAGTACTGTAAATAAATGTTTAATTAATACCTTTTTGTTTTTATTATTTCATTACCTAGTTTAGTTAAAAACTGTTTCAGGACTCTTATTATGGAAATTAGGGCAAGGTAGTTTCTCTTTAGGGCGTTGGAATATCTAAAATGTTTCCTCTTGATTTATGTCACCATCACAACATCTTTATCCCCCTTCCATCCACCTCTTCCATTGTATTGCTTGATTCTGTGGCATATACAATGAATTCTTGCCTGCATTCTCAGCCCTTCCAGCTTTATTCTTTGATTCCTCTCCCCTGGGCCCCACCCTCTGCTCTTGCAGGTACCTATTTCCTGGTACTTTGTTGTGTTCTGACTTAGTGTTTTTAAACAATTATACTATTTGGGTACTTCATAGGGTATATTACACTTCAGTTAATTCATTTGTAACCCCTTGCTTACCATCTAGTATGTTTATTTATAGATTTATAGGCAAATTGTGGCTGATACAAATGAGGAAAACCATACAACCTATCTTTTTCTGGGTCTGGCTTACTTTGCTTACTTAATATAATTTTTCCAAGTCTTTCCAGTTTCTTACAAATGGTATGATATCATTCTTTCTG